TAATTGCTATCAATTCCACTAATCCTTGGACCTTTGAGACCCTTTATCAGGAGGCCAGCCACAAGTGTTGGAATAGGAAGTGGTAGAACTTGAGTAGTCCATACAGAAAAACTTTCGGAGATTTTCCTTAACCCCATGTGAACCAAAAGATTCAGGTGCCTAAACCGTCAAATAAAGGCAGAGAAAGGAAATGTTTAGGCCATTCCCACACAACTGTGCTTTCAAGGACCATTCCAACTGCTCTACATAGATACATCATAACCTCTTGGAGACACCACCTTGGACTCAGCCTTCTCTCTTAGATATCCATGATTCCATCTCCCTTGGAGGTTGCAAGGATCCCGTGGGAGGTAATAGGGACTTGAGATCATGATAACAGGAGACACACCAATAGCTGTGATAATAGGTTCCGGAGCCACCAGGTCTGAGTATAAATCCTGGATTTTCCTTTGAAAAGATTAGAGGTCAAAACCTTTTCTGAACCGCAGCCTATTTCCCCACAGGGGAACTGACCTGTGAAAGCTCAATGACTCGGAAGCTGCATCACAGTTCTGAGTGAGTCTGCACAGCTGTGCTGACACACTAGCTAGACCTACAGGAGGGTCTGCCTCCTGACCCAGCAGCTGGCTCACTGCACTGTGGTCATGGACTGCAGGAATTAGGCAGCTCAGCATCTGGTGCTGGAAACTAGCATCAGGACTGAGCCCTCCTGCATCTCCAGTTGTCTAGGGTTTCTCAGGAGAAAAACATGTTTCTCCTCCATTTTTTATCAGTGACAAAGACAGTATTATTCCTTACCATATGAGAGGTTTTTTGTAGTACATAGATCAATTCTTGGTTCATAGAACCCATGGGATTTTCTTCTTAATTCGTGGTCCTATCACATTATAATTTTATACCCTCATTTCTTCCTTGATCTACATGCTATGTAAATCAAAGAACATAGATTATGAATGATTGCACTCCTTCTCTTCAAGGAGGAAGAAGAAGTATCACTATCTGATAGTGATACTTCACTATCAGAGTGCCTGGTACACTGTAAGTTCTGAGATAATGTTAGTCAAATGACCAAAGACATCATGAATGAAGTGGATGTGGGGTGGTCTTAGCATGGCGGAAGGAATTTCTAGAAAAGGCATAGTAGGAAGGAACAGCATCAGGGCAGTGAGTGTCTCACCAGACATCAGGGCAGTGAATGTCCACCAGACATCAGGGCAGTGAGTGTCCACCAGACATCAGGGCAGTGAGTGTCCCACCAGACATCAGGGCAGTGAGTGTCTCACCGGACATCAGGGCAGTGAGTGACCCACCAAACAATCATGTACCATCATGAGGTTTAGTTCAGCACTGAAGCATTAACTGGGATGAAATTAAGCTGAAATATGAAGTCTGTCCCTGTTCATGTTCAGTTGCCTGAAAGGTCCTGTCATGAATTGATATGACTGTGAGCTGATGACAGCACCCTTGAGCCTTTACAGTTACCAAGATAATCTCAATTGTGTGTCTTAGGAGGATGTGAGACATGAGAAGAAGGGTAGTGGGTGCTTGATGTAGGAGGGACTTCTATCTATCTGCTGCTTTCATTAGTTAATTAATAAAGAAAACTGCTTGGCCTGATAGGTCAGAACATAGGTAGGCGGGGAAGACAGAACAGAATTGTGGGAGAAAGAAAGCAGAAGTAGGCAGATGCAATAGCTCTTCTCTCCAAGATGGATGCAGATTAAAATCCTACCTGGTAAACCACCACCTCATGGTGCTACACAGATTACTAAATATGGGTTAAAGAAAGATGTGAGAATTAGCCAATAAGAGGCTGAAACTAATGAGCCAGACAGTGTTTAAAAGAATACAGTTTCCGTGTTATTATTTTGGGTATAGCTAGTCGCATGGCAGGCGGGAATGCATCCCCCCCACCCCGTTCCTTATTACTACAGAGTGGCGACCAACATGGTAACTAAATCCACTTAAAAACCTGAGAGAACTTTAAAGAAAAAAAAAAGGAGAGAGAGTTTAACACAGCTTTTTGCTGTTTGCTAGGACGTGCTGTAGAGAGATTTCCTGTTTCAGCATTAGCGGCAGAAAAAAAAGCTGCGCCATTTTAAAACGTGGCTTCCTAGACCCTGCCGCTGGTGCAAACTCCGGCTATGGAGCATTTCTGGGCCCAGATGTTTGTGTGCCCACTCGGGGTCGGGAACAAAGTAGCTGAGACCATTCCCATGGCTCAGCTCTTCCTGCCTGAGTAGGCAACGGGATCAGGTTTACTAGAACGAGGTGGTTTTGAAATACCAGTTCCTGGGCTGTGTCGCTGGTGCAAACTCTGGCTTTAAAGCATTTCAATGGCTTTTATGGGCCTGGATGTTTGTGTGCCCGCTCGGGATCGGAAAGATAGTACTCTGAGACCATGCCAATGGCTCAGCGCTCCCTGCCTGCACGGGGCAGATGGCAGAATCAGGCTCGGGCAGGCGGGAGAGCATGGTGGATTCCTGCCACCATACAGAGAGATGTTTCCAGGCTGCGCAGTGCTCTGCGTCTCAGATTTGGATGTAACTTAGATGAAAAGTGTTTCTGTGCTGCACACTCAGTCTCAGAGTTAAACTGCTGACTGTGGCTCCTACCTAGTCGCCCCAGACCTAACAGAAATGGTACGTTCACCATTTTGAAATTGGAGAAAGTTGGAGCCAACATCCAGAGCAGCCCGTGGCTCTGCAGCTCAGAGGCACAAGTGACTCCGCCATATTGGACTGGGCACAGCAAGTCGGCAGTACCTGTTTTTGACCTAGGAATGTCACAGCTTAGATTCTTAAGTGCTAAGCGATTTTAAAATGCAAAACAAAAATGCTCCTGGATAGTAAAAAAATTACAGATTCACAATAGGACAGATTCAGACATAAAAGACCTCTAAATGGGTCACAGTATTGGATGAGTATACGTAGGCTTGGGAGAGAGAAGAAAGGGAATATAGAGAATAAAGTTAATGCCTTAAAAATATAAGGGGTAAAGTCTTTAAAGATATAAAGTACAGATAGTTATATACTAAAAGAAATAAAGAAAAATAAGTCACATAAAAAATGGAAAATTCACAGAGAGTCTGGATTATGTACATTGTGTTTTCTTTAAAATTTTTGACTGTGAAGGAGCTAAATACAGAGAGACATTTCATTGTGTGATCTGCCAAACTACATATATGTTCTAAAAATATTAAGACTTCAGAATTTGGATCTAAGGATATGATACTTTGGAAAAGAGATTCTTCTTTTGTTTTCACAGAGGATGAGACCCTGTGGATTGCTTCTATCCCAATATGGTATGATAGACCACGCCCTCCTGAAAAGTTGCTGTGAACACCCTCAAAAAATTACTTCACACAGGATACACCATAAAATACCTGATTAACAGCGCCCCTATACAGCAGGAAGAAGTTTGGAGAGAAATAACTACGCCCATATTCCCAAATATTGTTTATAAATGTTCTTTTACATTTCAAGGGGGATATGATATAGATATGAATAATTTACATTGGTATAAATTTTGCCTTATTAATAGAAATTTAAGGTCAATTTTGTTATATGTATATGTATTTCTGATCTTGATTAAGGTATTGTGATTGTGTAGTTCATTTTAAAATGTAATGTATAATTAGGAAATATACGTTGTTAATGGATAATCATCAATAATAGTCAAGTTTGTAGTCATGTTAGTTAGATTTTCTAGATGTGCACAGATATATTTCAGATAGGCATTCTTCATATCTTTCAAAGATGAAAGAATATGGCATTTAATGTTTTAATAACTTGGGGTTTTTCATGACAATGAGACACGTCTGCTCCTGACAGTACCAATCTACTTCAAAAGGAGGATGGGCATCGAAGAGGCTACTTATGTAGTTTGCTAGCCATTTGGGCAAGAAACTACTCTTGCCTGGACTGTTGCATAAACTGGACACAAAGAACCCGCAGAGAGAGGACTGCTGATCTTGTCTAAAGATGAGATGGTCTTTCAGGGTTCCTAATTCATGAAAGAGTCTGCAAGACATTCTGAAGGATATAGAAGAAAGTGACTGAACTGTCTTTGAAATTTCCTGCTGCTTGGAAATGTCTGCTGGATATTATGGGCCTATAGGCTGAAGATGGATGCCCCAATGGTACAAAAGAACTTTGGGTGACTGTAAAGCAGAGAGATGTCTCTGTCATTTCTAGAGTTTTGGAAGTTGCTTACTTCTTGTTTACTTAGGTAATATTATATCCTTCTGGAGTCTTTGATGGAGTTGAAGAATGGAATAGTTATAGTTTTCTTTAGTCATGATAAAAGATAAAATAGATATAGATATTGTAACTGTAATTTTTGCTTTATAACTGTTTTGTTATACGCAATTTTACTATGTTAAAGTTAACGCCTTTTTGTTTAAACAGAAAAAGGGGAAATGATGTAGGAGAGTCTTCTATCTATCTGTTGCTTTCATTGGTTAATTAATAAAGAAAACTGCCTGGCCTGATAGGTCAGAACATAGGTAGGCGGGGAAGACAGAACTGAATTCTGTGAGGAAGAAAGCAGGGTCAGGAGAGCCGCAGCCATGAAGCTGCCAGGTCAGACATGCTGAATCTTTCTCGGTAAGCCACGACCTCATGGTGACTTACAGATTATTAGAAATGGGTTGAGTCAAGATGTGAAAGTTAGCCAATAAGAGGCTACAGATAATGGGCTAGACAGTGTTTAAAAGAGTACAGTTTCCACATAATTATTTCGGGGTAAGCTAGCCAGGATCCGGGAGGGAACACAGCCCGCCGCTCCTTTTGCAACAGGTACTGAGTGGCAAAGCATCCTGGACCTCACCTTGGAGCGTTGGAAGCAAGAGAGTCAGCTTTTTCCAGCCTTGCCAGGAGCTGGTGTGGTTTGGGCAATGACCTGGAGTCCCAGCCTAGATACAGGCAACCAATTAAGATGAACTTGGCAGTCTCCTCAAGTCTTCAGTGTAGTGCTTGTGTGGCTGTATTGTTATCCAGGTGATGGTGTGGATCCATGGAGGTGGATTGATGATAGGTGGGACATCAATGTATGATGGACTAGCTCTCTCTGCCCATGAAGACGTGGTGGTGGTAACGATTCAATATCGCCTAGGTGTTTGGGGATTACTCAGGTAAGATACTAGATTTTCCTCTCTACATATTTGTCCTTGCTTTGTTTTTTTCTGTTGATAAACAAATACTGAGGCTGGGTAGATACAAGAAAACTGATTTATTGAAAACAGTTCGGGAAAGTCAAGGTCCAGTATTGGGATGAAGACCTATAATGCAAGACCTTGGTCAGGAAGCAATATAGTAGAACAGATATCAGATTTTTGCATGCAGAAGCAAGCACGTGAAAAGGGAAGTTGTGAGTGATGAGAGACAGTCTGGCTACTTTTCACAACAAAACACCCCTGGGAAAATAAATAAGGTTCTAAGAAGGCTACAGAGATCCCTCTTGGGAGTGGCACACAATGACATAATCACCGTGCACTCATCTTTTCAGATTCTTCCACTGCTCATACTGACTGTCATTGTAGAGATCAGAACCAAGCACTGGACTGTGCAGCCACTGTTACCTTCCACTATTACCATGACCAAAGCCCAATGTCTCTGACGTGTACAGTTTCTATAATCAGTGGTTGTTCTAAATCTGTAGTTTGAACACAATAGCTGCTTCAACCAGTGGCCTGAGTGTTCTGTGAGACAATCATTTAAGCTCCATTAGTTTTTATATGCCTGCTCTTTACTTGCTATCCAGCACAATGAACTTTCATCATTTGTAGAGTTTCATTTTGTGAGCCCTGACACAGTCACAGCACAGAACTACTTCAGCAAAGATTTTTTTTAAGTCACAGCCTCTCCCCAGCCTCAGCTCATGGCAAGAACTCATACCTGTTCTTTATCACTATAATTTTACCACTTTAAGAGAGCTTAGTTGGCCTACAGAATATCGAGGACATCAACAGCTTGTTTTCTGTTTTGCTACTGAGCTGTTTTTGTATTCTCTTCTTTTGAAGAATTACTTATCTTTTATTTTATGTATATGTATGTGGTTGTATGGGCTCATGTGCCCACAAACATGCAGGATCCTGCAGAACCAGAGAGGGCACTGGATCCCTGGAACTGATGTTATACACAGCTGTGAGCTGCCATGCTGGGAACTGAACCAGGCACTCTGGAAGAACAGCCAGTACTTTTAACTTTTAACCCCTAAATTGTCTCTCCAGTCCATTTTGGGTTGTAGTTCATTGGAGGGATGTACCACAGCTGGCTCATTTTCCACTGGAGGATAAATGGGTTGTTTCTAGTTTGGGAACAATTACAAATAAAACTTATGAATAATTATGTATATCTTAATTGTTTTTAAAAAATGACTAATTCTCTTTTATGTGTGAGTGTTCTGCTTGCATGTATGCATGTATACAACACATGTGGTTGGTGCAAAAGGAGGTAATTCCAGGTGTAATTCCTGCACCTGGAATTACAGATGGCTGTGAAAAACTTATATGGGTGCTAGGAAGTGAACCAGGGCTCTCTGCAAGAGCAACCAGGGCTGTTAACTGCTGAGCCATCTCTCCAGCCTACACATAGGTTCTTAACAAGATTTAGGTTTTCATTTCTGTCCGACTTGTGGTGTGAGTGGCTGCTAGGCTGCATGATAAAAGCATGTGTAACTCTCTAAGCTGCAGGAACTGCTTTCCCATGGCATTCTTCCTGTACTGTTGCATGATGCAGCCTCTCTGCCTTTCCATTAGTACTCATTGTCTTTGGTTTCTTTTGTCTGCTTCTTAGTATAATAGTAACGCAACAATAGTGCTGTGTCCTTCCCACCAGGCGATAGCTGACATCACTGGTAGGCTGACTGCTAGAACTGAGAGGTGTGTGCAGGGTCTCTCCACTTTGCAATGGAAGGCATCTTCTAGAGAAGTATTTCACAAGTATGTAAATATCATCTAGCCAACTTTAGCATCCATTACTCATTGTTACTTGATTAAAAAATCATGTTTAATAAAGAATTCCTTAATTAAATTGCTCCTTCTAGAACATTTATTAGGTGGCATTCTATTGTGATATTTTAATTTATCTATCAATGAATATGATTTCATGAATTCTTTTTTCACTCTACTTCATAATTTATCACTCTCATTTAGTTTTTTCTTAATCTTTTTTTCCTTTTTTTTGAGGGTAGGGTGATGGTGGGACATGTATTGTGTGGGTTTCCCTAGGACAAGTTTTGTCACACAATACCAGGATAGTAGCCTTAAATTCAGAGATCAGCCTGCCTCTGCCTCCTGAGTGTTGGAATTAAAGGTATGTGCTATCTCATTCAGATAGTTTGGTAAATTAAAAGTTTGGTCAATGAAAAAGCCTTCAGGTCTGCTTCTCTGAGTTTTTACACATTCTTCTTATTCTATGAACATTTCCTTACTGAAAGCAGGATATTCTAATTTTGGCCTTGTGTCTGCCACACTCTAGCCCCAGAATTCCCAGGTCTCCCAGGAACTGCAATACCTTCGACGGGTCCTCTCCATCATCATCAGGAAGGTTCGCAATTGAAAGCATCTGTATGCCCTCGGTATGGACAGCTCTCAATAATCCCTAGAAAATAAAGTATCAAAATTATGACTTCAAAGGCTGAAAAATAAGATATGCATAGTCAAATAAGCAGCCTCATCAACTCTAGGCCGTGCAGACAAGAAACTGGCCCACAGCATTTCCAGATGTCTGCTTGCTGTGGAGTGGTGAGCGAATGCTAACAAACCATCTTTTCGTAGTTTCTACTTATTGATACTTTCTCAATTTGTCTAACATACTCATTCTAGAGTTACTTATTAGTCACTGATTTGATCAAAAGAAATAATGTAGAAAATAACTTGCATCTCAAGACTGCTTTCATGATCTTGGCAAACAAAAACGTGGGGAATAAAATTGGGTTTTGAAAACTCTTCATATATGATTTTGTGTGTGTGTGTGTGTGTGTGTGTATAATATATAGAGTCATTGCTGCATGAGAGAATGACTCTTAGTGTCATGTGAACAGCACATCAAGTATGGTATGGAAAGGAATGAGAAACTTGGTCTAAAATCTTTTATAAGGAAAGAAGTTGATTTTCTGACTTTATGGACCCAGAACAAGCAAGTCCACAAACAAATGCATTGGCCCAAGCTCACAGGTTATTTTTGTGGGACATTCATTGCTTTCAACATCCTTGCTTCCATCAGGGACTGAAGACTTAATGACTATGTCTTCCATAGACACACAATGAGTCAGTGTCACAGAGGGGTTTCAAGGGAGAAATAGGGAACACACTTTAAGAGTAGAACTTCATGTTCAGTTTAGCTTGTAAAAGTTGATTACAGGAGAAGTCTAAGGTATAGTGATATCGATTACATGGTTTCTCTTAAAGGGAAGTCACACAAACTGAGTGGTGCATAGTTTTAAACAATCTCAAAGCATTCAGCTGACTTGGTCACATGGTTAGGAAAAATCTGACTGAAAGCAAACTACAAGGGCATTCCAGAAAAATTATTTTTACAACATTCCACTGTAATATCTATGAAACTTAAGAAATAAAGTGAAATCGATTTCCAGGGATACTTTTAACTACGCAATTCTTTCTTTGTAGAGAACCTTTTTGTGTAACTTCCAACTGACTGCCCTGTTCAGTGTGGCGATGACACTGGCTAAGCTGACTCAGGGGTTTTTGTCTCCTGTGCCTCCAGACTCAAAAGAGAATGGGAGATTAAGTGGCAAAGAGTGAATGCAAATGACGATTTATTGTATTCATTTCCTTGTGTGTGTGCTTTGTGCATACGGACATGTGTCACCGCGCACATACACACGTCAGAGAACAAGTTGCAGGATTCGGTCCTCTACCTCCACCAACCAGCACTTTATAGCAGCAAGTGCTTTACACTCTATCTTAGGGTTACAATTGCTGTATGAAAATCATGACTAAAATCAAGTTGGGGGGAGGGAAGGGTTTATTTGACTTACACATCAGTGTTGCTGTTCCTCACTGAAGGAAGTCAGAATAGGAACTCAAAAGGGGCAGGTCCAGGAGGTAGGAGCTGATGCAGAGGCCATGAATAGAAGTTGCTTACTTGGGACTCTTGACTATTTCCTACCTCCTGGCGGATAGCTAAATAATCTTCATCAGGTTCGTCTTCTTATTTAGCTTCTCTAGGATCACGAATAATAGGCTCAAAGACCTTTAATTATGGTTAGAATCGGTAGGAAATAGTCAAGAGTCCCAGGTAACCTTGGGTGCATGGGGGGGGGGGTGGAAGGATTGTTGGAAGGGGAGAGGGTTAGAGAGAAGGGAGTAGGGGAGGAATGGAGAAAGCTCGGTTGACCGGGATGGGGGGAAGGGAGGAAGGATGAATATGGGATCAGGGAAGAATATATTTCAACTAAGGGAGTCATTTTAGGGTTTACAGGAAACTTGATTATATATGGGATCCCAGGTCCAAGGAGAGATCCCCAGATTGTTCTCTGGACAGAGGAGAGGGTGCCTGAACCGGCCTTGGCCCATAACCATACTGATGAATATTTTGCTTATCACCATAGATCCTTCATCTGGCGATGGATGGCGATACAGACGGAGACCCACATTGGAGCACCGGACTGAGCCCCCCAAGGTCCAAATGAGGAGCAGAAGGACGAAGAAAATGACGAAGGACTGCAAGGGATGCTATCACCCACTGATACAAGGGGTCGGATCTAATGAGAGTTTACCAAGGGCAGTTGGACTGCGACTGAAGGAGCACGTGATCCAACCAGATTCTCTGAATGTGGCTGGCCCAGAGTCTTTCTGAGAAGCCATTGACAATGACACTGGGACTAGTTTCCTCTGCATATACTGGATTTTTGGAATCCAGTCTGTTTGGATACTCACCTTCCTGGACCTGGAGGGAGGGGGGAAGAACTTGAACTTCCCACAGGACTGGAAACCCTGACTGCCCTTAGGGACAAAGAGGGAGGAGGAGAGGAGGGGGGGAGTGGGAGGGTGTTGGGAAGAGGGGCGTAAATGGAAACTTTTATAATTTAATAAAATTACTTTTAAAAAAAAAAGAAGAAGTTGCTTACTGTCTTTCTTTCTCTGCCTTGTAGCCTTCTTCTTTATAGAAACCAGGACCAGCAGTCCCAGGGATGGCACCACCCACAATGGGCCGGGCCCTTCTCTATCAATCATAAGAAAATGTCTTACAATCAGATCTTATGCAGACATTTTTACTCAGTTGAGGTTTCATCCTTTCAAATAACTCTAGCCCTTGTCAAGTTGACATAAAATTAGCCATTATACCCATCGAGTCATCTTGCTGCCCAGCAATAACCTCAAATCATTTTTATTGGGAATGAGAATACAGAAATGAACAAGGAAGTTTATTTAGTTGTGTAATTCACAGAGGGGAGTAATTTCAAATTTCACACTTCTTCTGCCACCCTCATATTGGGGTTTGAACACTGGACTTCAAACACGGTAGGTAAATACCCTGAGACATATCTGCACCCCAGTACAGTACATTTTTATGGTTAACAGGTGCCTTACATTAGACAACACTTTCTTTTGAACTTTTAACATTGACATAAAGAATCCCTTTTTGATTTTTTTCAAAATAACTTGTTATACACTCAAGATACAAATAAGCACAAGGGAGGACACACCATCAGCGAGTTTTTACTTCTCTGGCTTGCTACTCACTGCCAGGTTGAAGCTGAGGCACCATCTTAATTTGCCGCTCCAGCTTCTGTGTTTCCATTTGGAAGACATCTCTTTCATGTTCCCTCTCCACTGCCTGCTCCTGAAATTTAATGACAATGCTAATAGTAACAACAAAGATGATGATGTTGATATTGAATTGGGGATGTTGTCACACGTCTTTAATCCCAGGACTTGAGAGGCAGGAGCAGGTGAATTGTGTGAGTTCGGGGTCACTCTGATCCTATATAGCAATTCTACACTAACCAGGGCTTCATGGTAAGACACTGTCTAAAAAATAAACAAATAACACCAAAAATTATAGAACTTATGATAGTATTATTTATTTAATTAATATTATTGTACCCATTATTTCTTATATCCCTTTAGCTAGAGGTTTAAAGGATACAGACTGATACAAATACCCAAATCCACGAAGGTTTAAGAAGAAAAACATCTTTGGAGGTTATAATACATTGCCTATTTGGGCTCTTTAACAAAAATTGAATATTTAAAATCATTAGCAGTACTATCCTTTTTGTTCACATAAATGTCAAATGTACAATAAGAACAAGATGAACTTGTACAAAGGAGGAATCTACTGTTAATTCAGTCTTATTACAGGTAAGCAATGTAAGTTAGTTTGTTTACTCCTATTCTAGACTTACCCCTAAAAATACAAAATGCATTCAACTGATTCTCTGACAAGTGAAGGTCATTGGCTGCTCTGGACCATCCTGTACACTGTGAAGATGTGTTGCTCTCATTGGTTTAATAAAGAGCTAAATGGCCAATAGCTACACAGGAAGAGGCTAGGCAGGACTTGAGCACAGGGGAGAGAACTCTCTTGGATGAAGGAAGGCAGAGTCGCCAAAGACACAGAGAGAACCAAGGTGAGCATGCCATACCGAGGAAAGGTCCTGAGTCACATGGTAGAAGGTAGATAAGAATTGTGGGTTAATTTTAGTTGTAAGAGCTAGTAGCAAGCCTAAGCAGGGCTGAGCGTTTATAATTAATAATAAATCTGTGTGGTTATTTGGGAGTTGGTTGGCAGGACAGAAAGATCAGCCTACACTTGGCTTCTGAAACCCTAAAAATGTTTTGTATGAAAAGTCAAAAGCCATGAGATTCTGGGTGAGAACGGTGGCAGCATGACAGCGGTGCCAGTCCCAGTGCCCTGTGCCACACCGGGAGCTGTGCTTACCTGCTGTGCAGGGGCAGCTGGAACTCTTGGAATTCTTCTCTGTTTTAACTACCAGCAAAAAGCAAAACTAGAAAAAGCTTAACTTTGAATTTGGAAAACCGACCTGCTCAGGGTTATTCACAAACTAGAAGTGCTTTTAATTTCTTTAAAATAATATTTTTGTATTAAATACTTTTTTAAGACAGTGTTTCTCTGTGTAACAACCTGGTTGTCCTGGAACTCACTCTGTAGACTAGGGTGGCCTTGAACTCAGAGATTCACCTGTCTCGTCTCCTGAGCGCAGGGATTAAAGGCATGTGCCATCTCCACCCAGCCCACACTTAATAGTTTTCTTGCTAGGAATTCGACTCAAAGACTCCTGAATACTCAGCAAGCAGGGATTGTATCACCAAGCTGTATCCTCAACCTCAGTATTCATCCATCCACCCATCCACCCATCTACCCCATCCATTCATCCACCCACACACCCCATCCATCCATCCACCCACACACCCCATCCATTCATCCACCCACCCACCCCATCCATCCATCCATCCTTCCATCTACCCACCTATCCACCTACCTGTCCCATTTGTTTGTTCATCTGTCTACCCACCCATGCCTTCATATATGCCCATCCAACCAACAAATGCATGGTATCAAAATGTAGCTCAGGCTGAAAATACTTACTTGAATGAATTTTCTCAGATTTTCAAACTGTTTCTCCAGGGCTTGGTTTTGCTGTCTTAGGTCTGTTTGACATTTTTTTCTCATTGCATGTCTACTAGCTTTTGATCTTTTCTTCAATGTCTATTTTGAGAATTTTAACTTGCTTTGGGAGTTGCTGCATACTTTTTCCCCTTGGCATTATCCTTGTTGTTTTTCCTTCATTAGCTTTTCTGTCTCCTGAAGAAATCCTGCTTGCAAATATGGCAATGCACTACCTTTAAACTTTATCTTTATGAAGTAAAAGCTCAGAATTCTTGTCAAATAGGTCGTTCACTTCCTTGGTTAGTGTTACCCCAAGATATTTTATGCTATTTGTGGCTATTAAAAAGATGATGTTTCTCTGATTTCCCTCTCAGCTTCTCTATCTTTTGTGTATAGGAGGGCTACTGGTTTCTTTGAGTTGCTCCTGTATCCTGCCACATCACTGAAGGTATTTACCAGCTATAGGAGTTCTCTGGTAGAGTTTTTGGGGCCACTTATGTACACTATTATATCATCTGCAAATAACAAAAGTTTGACTTCTTCCTTTCCAATTTGAATCCCCTTGATCTCCTTTTGTTATCTTATTGCTATTGCTGAAACTTCAAGCACTATGTTGAAGAGATATGGAGAGAGTGGACAGCTTTGTCTTGTTCCTGATTCTAGTGGAATGGCTTTGAATTTCTCTTCATTTAATTTGATGTAGGCTTACTGTATATTGCCTTATTATATTTAGATATGTCCCTTGTATCCTGATCTCTCCAAGACCTTTATTGTGAAGGGGTGTTGGATTTTGTCAAATGCTTTTTCAGCATCTATTGAAATGATCATGTGGTTTTTTTTCTTTCAGTTTATTTATGTGATGGATTACATTGAGAGATTTTCTTATGTTGAACCAGCCCTGCGTCTCTGGGATGAAGCTGACTTGATCATGCTGGATAATTTTTTTATGTTTCTTGGATTTGGTTTGCCAGTATTTTATTGAGAAATTTTGCAACCATGTTCATGAGTGAGATTGGTCTGAAATTCTTTTTATAGGTTGAGTCTTTGTGTGGTTTTGGTATCAGGTAACTATAGCCTCATAAAAAGAGTTTGGCAATGTCCCTTCTGTTTCTTTATGTGGAACACTTTGAGGAGTATAGGTATTAGCTCTTCTTGGAAGTTCTGG